CACTTAGAAAAAAAACGCATTGCGCTTAGCCAACCACGCACGCTGTCATCTCGCTGCCTTTTCGTCTGCACACACGAGCGACGCATGGTTCCCCGATGCATGGTCATGGGCAATAACGGAGGAGAACGTACAATCGCAGCAGATCATCAAATGGCCCACGTAGACCATTAGCATGCGACGAAGGCCATACTTGTTCGCCTAGGCAAGTTGCATCGGGCGCTCGGAGATACATAACATGGCTGAGGCACATGTGCACATTCGACATCAAGCCGCACGCTAACATCGTCGTGCTCATGGGGGGTGGTGGGGGGCGGTCCTAAAACTGGACTAAAACTAAAAGTAAAACTAAAATGTTGAATAGCTGCTGCCTTTTGTCTTCCGATAACCATTCGCGCACCCACATGGATCTTGGCCTTCTCATCCGCCTTCTTCGCCTTCTTCCTGACTGCTACACTCTGGCCTTCCCTCTCTGCAACTGCTGCTGGCCTGATGCAAAGACTGGATGTATGCACCCAGCAAACAGGCAAACACAAAATCTTCTTCACCTTGGGCATTCATGATGTTGTCTTGTCGAAATCTCAGGATACAATAATTGCTATTGCTTGGGAGGCCTTATTTTTATACCGTAGGCGCAAACGTGCTCCAAAGCTGCCCGGCGTCCACGTTTCATCCGTAGAAAGCCTTGACAGAACGTGAAAAACGTGTCAGACCTTGATTAGATCGTGAGAAACGTGAGGGACCCCATCAGAACGTGACGGGCCGGGAGGGAACGTACTGGCATCCGTGGTAGACCGCGGACCGAACCGTATGGCGCCTTGGACCCTCCGGGAGTCAGCAGCCCCTTCCCCTCACGGCCCGTCACGGATACCGTTATAGACCGTCAGAAAACTTGGCAAGACCTAACAAAACTTGAATACAGAAAAAAAATTGCCATAATCCCACGGCGCACTACGTTTCGGGCAAACGGGGCTGCCGTGGCCGCCGGGAACACAGTGTAAACGCAGCATAACATGGTCGTACCATGAGGAAATTCTAACGAGAGTGAAAATGCGAGTCAATGAAAAGGAAATATCTAGTTTCAGGAGATAAACCACGTGCAGAAGAGAATTAAAATCAAGGGATAAATCTTTCTATTATTAATTACATGCATGTTAGCGTTATTAACATGTATGAAGCTTAATATGTTTATTTTGCTTTAGAATTTCGTAAGAGAGGAAAGCTGCCCCATTAAAGCTACTGTCCTACACTTTCACTAGTTAGTGGCAAGTAAATCTTCAATACTAGTAAACATACTCATGACACATACAATTATCTTGCAAACATTGCGCTCACCTATGTTACTCGTGTTACCTATAGGTTCTCTTACCTATATTGTTGTATTTCTAGAAGTAAAGTCGTAAGAGCTGACGTATAATATATAAACTCAACAAAGGATTTATTTCCAGCCACTCTCCAGCCTGCCACGTAGTAGAGT